ACACACACACACACACTCTCACACACACTCGCACACACACACACACACACACACTGCCGTACCTCTGAACGGCCTCCGGATCGGGTTCGGCGTCGGACCCCTCCTCATCCACCGGAGCCACATCCAGGATCGGATGCTGACAAACACAGAGACATGCGTCAGAGCTCACTGATAAATAAAATGCAATTAATACTTTGGACTATTGCATTATTCATTTTAACCTTTGATATTATAGTAATGTATGAGCTGACAGCATTAATTGACAGATTGTTTGACGTAATGTAGCCGATATATAGCCAAACTAATTGATATGGAATCAGAAATGAGCTTGTGAATCAGAATGTGCTCTACTCCAGATCCTGATCTGATGAACATAACGTCACTGTGCTGATGAATGTCATGTGTGATCATGAACGCAGTACGTCATGCTCAGCTGTGAGAAACAGGAGGATTGTCTCACCGGGATGGTGACCAGCGGCGACTGACCGCGCGGCCTCTTCAACAGCTGCTGCGCGTGAAGCTGAATGTTGGCTCCGCCGTCAGACGCCCGGCGGCCCAGAGGACCCATGCCATTCAGCAGCTGCAGGGTGGGAGGCTGCAGGAGAGACTGTTCCTGCACACGACACACCACACACAACATACAACACACACGACACACAACAGGTGATCTCAGCATCAGCATATCCCAGCGTATATACAGTGCTGGCCAAAATGATAGAACACTAGTAAAGCAGATAGCAGCTAAAAATGGATAGCAGCTAAAAATGGTTTTAAGTCAGATATTTCTATCTTTTGCTGTAGTGTGTCAGTAGGAAATATCAGTTTACATTTTCAAACATTCATTTGGCCATTAATTGTAATAATGCAGTGAGATGTTAGTGCTGCACACAGAGATGTGATCTGATCATCATCAGTCTGTCTGGAGTCACATGAAGAAACAGAACAAACTGAGACAGACTCAATCCAGAAGAACTGACGCTTCAAGAAACCTCCTGCAAAGCTCCTGAGAAACTCTGCTCAAGTGCACTGAGAGCAAAAGCTGCTTTAAACACAAAGATGCTCTCACCAAATGTTGAATGTTTGGAAATGTAAACTGTAGAGATGTAATGATATCAAATTCTCATGATACAATAATATCGCGATATGACGTCCACAATACGATATTTATTGTGATATTTAAAAAAAAAGACAAATTAAGAATTGGGGAAAAAAATTAACATTGCGTACATTTTAAAGTTAAATTATTCTAATTAATGCAATTTGAGAGTTCAAAATTAAGAGCTCCATCCCATGTTCTTAACTAGGAAACACAAGTCAGAAAAAAAGTCAGTGAATTGAACCCTCAACCCTGTTTTTATTTGTGATATAGTGTCTCAGTATAAATTACAGTCACACTGGTGTTTTAGGAAGCCAAACAAATTAGAATATAATAATAATAATAGCAACAATGACAGTAATAGCCACATATTGTAAAACAATTGCACTGTAAAATAAATGAAAATGAATATTTACACTACAGCAGGGAAATTACAATACTTCTTTCCTAATTTCTACACTTGAAAGAGATATTGTGAATCTGGACTGCATTTAAACCGCTAGCTGTCAGCGATTCATAAACTGCACTTTAAGCTTTTATTTAGAAGGAAACTCCAGCTTCAGTGAAAACATGCTCACAAAAACACGTCTCGCTACAAATCTAGTGAAGCGCTGTAATCATCTGCCGCTGAAATAAAGCATAACTGGTGTCTGTTGTGTTCCCAAACGCGCGCTAAACTCACAGCACGTGAAATAAAGGAGTGGACTGCATTCATTCAGTGTGAACGAGTCGTTCTGAGACGCAGAAAACACCGGATCACGAGCTGATCGTCTGAACCAAGTGTGTGCTTC